ATTTTTTATTCCAGAAAGGAGATCAAGAAATCTGAGACTTCTGTTGGCCTGAGGTCAGGGAGGCGATGTGGGCGCAGGGGACAGAAGAATGTTTGCCTGTCCCCAACAGACCCCTACTCTGGGATGCTGACAACAGGTACCTGCTGTTCCTCAGGTTGGTTGTGCCCTGCAGGAGCCTGGAGGGGGTGTGGGACCAGCACAGAATCACAGAATCAATAGGGTGGGAAAAGATCTCCAAGAGTGAGTCCAACCATTCCCCCAGCGCTGCCCAGGCCACCACTAACCCATGTCCCCAAGTGCCACATCTCCAGCAGCACTGGGCAGTGAGGGCTCCTCCAGAACAGAGCCTGGAGCCTCTCACCCAGATGCCAGCTGGAGCTTCTGGAGGATGTTGTATATCTCGAAAAAATCAGAAAGAAAGAAATCAATCAAGTTTTGTGGGTTAAATCAGAGGTTTAGAAGCTTTTATAGGTTTTGGGTCTTGAGCAAGCTTTGGCCATGACAAAACTGAGCTTTTTTTGGGTGACACCTCGGTGCCCTTTGCTCTGCAGGTGTTCGTGTCGAGGACAACAGCCAGTGGATGGCTCAGATCAACAGGCTCCAGCAGCTCATCGAGAAGCTGGAGTGCAAGGTGTGTGCCCAAGGGGGTGCTGGGGCTGCCCCACACCTGGGACCCCCCTGTGCCGTCAGCCCCCTCTGGCATTGTCACAGAGCTGCAGCCACGCACCGGCCCCAGCCCTGCACCTGCAGAGCCGCCCCTGCCCCTCCGCTCTGCTGACCCTCTCCTGTTTTCCCTGCGATGCTCACGGGTCTGTCAGGCCCCACTGACCCCAGAGACACAGCCCTGTTCCCCCACAAGTACCACAGGGAATGTCCCTGGAGCGGGACCCAGCTGTCCCCTGGGTCAGAGCCTCTCCTGCTGCAGAGCTGTCCCAGTAACTCCAGTTTCTCTCTCCCCTAACTCAGAGCCCACGCCTGGAGCCGCTGAAGGAGGAATCCCTGTGCAAAGGCCAGGATGCTGTAAGTGCCTGTCCCTGCCCTGTGCCACAGCTCTGCTGTGCCCTGCTGATGGAGCAGGGTGGCATTCAGGCTGTGGGACCATCCATGGGACAAACCCCTCCTGTCCCTGCCAGCCCTGGGCAGTGTCCACAGCCAGCCCAGAGGAAGGCAACCCCCTGCTTGTGAGGGCCCAAATCCCCCAGGAGTGCTCTGGGTGCCCCCAAGCCCAGGTGGAGGGGTCCCCAAGCCCCTTTCTGCTGGGGGAACTGCAGCAGTCCCAAAGCAAGAACCCCTCACTGGACATGGAGCATCTCCTGTTGGTCCTTGTAAAGTCAGCCTGGCCGGGGGGAAGGAGCCGCTCTGTGTCCCCACTGTCCCCAGCACGGTGGTGCCACAGGATGGCACAGCCGGGGGCAGCAGGGAGGGCAGGAGGGGACAGTCCCTGTGTGTCCCTTGGCAGCACATCCTGGTGGCCAAGAGGCAGATCTCGGTGGCCACGAGCAGCATCGAGGAGTTCCGGCAGGCGTTCCGCTCCTACACCGAGGGCACGGCCGGGCACAGCAGCTGCCTGCAGTAAGTGGGGTGCTTCGGGGGGGCTCTGGGGGTGGCTCCCCCAGAAATGGGGCTGTTAACACCCTCGGGGGACACAGGGGTTTGTGTGGAGTGTTTTGTGTGCTGGCCAGGGCTCGGGTGTGGCAGGCAGGATGAGTGTCAGCAGTGTCTGCTGCAGGTGTTCCCAGGGAGAAGCAGTGCCTGGTGAGGAGTGGGGAGGGTTTATGCCAGCAGGAGTGGCCGTGCTGTGTTCCTGTGAGCTCCTCCAGCACTGGAGGACTGAAAAGCAATGGCAAGGTCAAGGGCAGAGCTCCTGCAGAGCACTGATTTATGGAGAGCATGTGGGAAGCTGCCACGAGCACCTGAAGCTGGCCCTGGGTGAGGCCAAGGCTGCCCCAGAGCCCTGCTCTGCCTGCAGGGACGTGGCAGTGCCAGCCTGGCCCTGATGGCACAGCTGCCCCCTTCCCCTCTCCCACGGGACACTCCAGGCCCCTTCCAGCAGGGAATGTTCGTGCGGTTCCCGTTTCGAGTCCTTTTTCAGCTCTTCACTTTCAACAGCACAAATTCACATTTTCAGTCCAAACAAAAGGAAGATGCTCGCTGTGACACGTGCGGTGGAGAGAATGGGAGGCTTTTCCTTTGGAATTGATTGGCTTTTTTGTCATCAGGGCTATTTGTGGAGACAGCAGGGTGTTGTTGCGTGGGCTGCCTCTCTACGTGAGCGGAAAGCTGGAGCCGAGCCTGGGGAGGCTCCGCGGGCCTGGGTCACTCCAGGGAATCTCAAAGCCCCTCTGGGAGCCTCAGAGCTGTGCAGTGCCCGGGGGCTCGGCCCCCTCCAGCAGCCCTTGCCAGCAGCTGCAGGAAAGGCTGATCCTCAGCTGGAATTGCTGCTGCTGCAGCCCGGCACAGCTGCTTCCCCTGCCCTGCAGCCTGAGCACTGCACTGCTGGCTCCTGCTGCCTGGGGAACAGCCCCAGCCTTTCCTGGGCGGGAGGGAATGAGGGAAGCATCACTTTGGGGGCAGAGAGCTGTGGGTTTGTGCTGTGAGCTCAGCTCCTGTGCCTCAGTTTCTCTCCTGTGTGAAGGGTGGCAGGTGACACACACCTACTCCAAGGGGCTGGCAGGATGAGCTGTGTCAGTGCCAGGGAGAAATAATAAAACACAGAATGTGCTGCAGCAGCAGCAAGGACCAGTGTAAGAGCTGTAAAGCTCCTCTGCCACCAGGACACAGGAGCTGTGAAGCAGAATTTGGGTTGGGACCCTCTGGAGCTGTTCACAAGCTGTGAATGCAGCCAGACTGTGCTTTGGGAGCCTCGTGGTGAGGCTGATGTGCACAGCTGTGCCCTGCTGTCCCAGGCTTGTGCCAGGGCTTTGCCAGGGCCGTGCCAGGGCTGTGCCAGGGCTGTGCCAGGGCTGTGCCAGCCTGCCCAGCCCCGGCTCAGGGTCACTCTGTCCCCACAGTGTCTCTGCCTGCAAGCTGACAGACGAGGCCTGCTTCATCCTGTACGAGTTCTGGCAGGACGTGACCTCGTGGAGAAGGTGGGACAGTGTCCATGGGTGGGGCTGGGGGCCCAGAGGGGTTGCCCACTGCTCCCTTTCCGTGCCCAGCCTGTCCCAGTGCTCTCCCCTGTGTGCCCTGGGGCACCTGCAGCTCACAGGGGTGAACACCCCAGTGAAGGATTTGGGGAGTGGGGCAGGAGAGGGGCTGGGGGGTGCAGAAGCTGCCCTGTCCCTGTGTGTGGGAAGAGGGTCCCAACACCACATCCCCCTGAGCCTGCACCCTGTTTTACAGCCACTTGCAGTCCAGCTGCAGCAAGACTTTCCAGCAGTCCATCCTCAGCTTGCTGGAGTCCCCAGAGCTGCTGACCACCATGCTCTTCCCAGGTGAGGGGTGCCTCAGTCCTGCTCTGGGTGTGCTGCAGAGCCCAGGAGCAGGGCAGGAACAGGCACTGTGGCTCCCTTCAGAGCAGAAGATTGGTTTGGGGTGACCTAAATGAGGTTTTTCAAGCCAGACTGAGGCCAGTTAAGCCCAGCAGGTTTGGCTGTGTGAGCTGGAGCGTGTCCCCTGCCCAAGGGTGCTCTCCAGCGGGGACAGCCAGGAGCAGGGACACTGCTCGGTAGCAGATAAGCTGAGTCCTGTCCCAAAAGCACCTGGTGCCTCATTTGGGTTTTCACCTGAGTCCTGAGCCTGCTCTGCAAAGTGCTGATGCTCCCAGGTCAGTCCCAGGGGTGCAGCCAGGGTTACAGCCCAGTGCTGGGGCAGGGGGAGGCCAGCACAGGGAATGGGCACATTCCCATGGTACCAACAGAAACAGGACCAGGTGTGGGAACTCTGAACTCAGTTAAGGCGCAGTTTGCTTTCAGGGATCACTTCAGGGTCTTGTAAAACAGTAGACCGTAAAACATGGATTAATTTGGACTGAACCCTGCACTGCCAGTGCTGCCCCTGACCTGCCAGTCCCACGGAGCACATTCCCAGTGCTCTCCTGCAGGAGTTCCAGGGGGGTCACCCCTCTCCAGGCCATGCCATGGCCACGCTCCCTGCCCGGGGTGGGTGCTTTACAGCCAGGGACCTGCAGGGTCAGTTCCCCCATCTCTGCCACCCTAAATGCCCATTCCCAGTTTCACACTGCCTTCACCTCCCTGCTTTCCCTCTCTCCCCAGCTTCCTGGTGGATCATGAACAACAACTGACCCGGGGCAGCCGTCTCCAGGACACCATCAGCATGCGGGAGGACATGGAGCCCTGGGCACAGCCGTCACCTTTGTCACCTCCCTGTCCCTCCATTCCCTCCTGTGGCCAGCGGGGGCTGCCTGCCCTCGGCCCTGCCGGTGTTTCACTCCTTTGCTCTTTTCATGTCAATTTATTTATTTATCCTGCTCCTAAGACAGTGTCCGAGCCGAGTGTGGGGGTGGCAGCCTGGCCCTGGGGGGAAACTCTGGGCTGGTGCTGCAAGCCAGGAGCCCTCAGTCCCTCTTGCACTCAGCTCTTCTTCCTCCTGGCTCTGAGGCTGCCCAGGGTCTGGGATGGGCAGGGGACACGGCCCTGGCCAGCTGTGACATCCTGCCCGGGCAGCCAGGTGGTCTGATACGGATTGTGAAGAGCATTTTGTAGGGAAAAATATATTTCATGAAGGGATTCTGGCAAGCTGCAGCTGATCCTGGCCTGCCATGCTGGCAGCATGTGCTGTGGCTTTGGGACTGGCTTTGTGCCCCAGCAGCAGTGCCCACGGCTGAAGCTGTCCCCAGCACATCCCACTGCCAGGGAAGGCCAGAGGGGTTCCAGTCCCTGCTGCTTCCTCAGCTCCCATAAACCAGCGCTGGCACCTGGCAGTGCCACCAGAAGCTGGAGCTGAGCTCATGGGGAGGGGTCAGGGGGCACTAAATGAGGGGAAGGCTGGAGCAGATCCCACCTGCTCCAGGGGTGGCACTGGGGCTTTTCTTGGTGGATCCTGTGCTGAGGCAGGGACACTCACAACCAGTGTGGAGGGAGTGGGAGGGACCAGGAGGGACACCAGCCACCCTCCTGGCACAGGAAACATCATCCCTGTGCCCCTGCCTCCCCCCAGCACCAGTGTGGCCCCCCGGGTGCCTGCACCCCCATCCTCATTCACCTGGGACCTGGTACCACCCCCAACCTCTTCTTCTACTCCCTGTGGGTGCTGCTCCACCAGAAACCTTCATTTGAGTGTTTCTCCCCCAGCCCCTGGATGCAGCCAGTAAAATCTGTGCCTGAAGGGGCAGTGGGTGCAGCTCCATCCTGGGACCCCTCATACCCACTGTGCTGGCTGGGTCTGACCCGGTGTCACCCCTGGGAGGGTCACTGGGTTTTAGGGTGCTTGTTTTGCTGGCTTTGGGGTGCCAGGGAGTGACCTGGCTGATGCCAGGAGCAGCCTGCAGAGATGGGATCAGGGAAGCTCCTGCTTGGAGGAGCAGCAGCTGCTGGGCACAGACCCCAGCCCAGGGCAGGCTCAGCACCCAAACCACAAATGGCCCTCCCAGGGATGGGGTGTCCCTGTTCCTGTGGGGACCCATCCTCCAAACACCCAGTTGTTTACCTGATAATCAATACCTGCTGCTTTCCCTGGCCAAAGCCAGGATTTCTGTGATCAGGGCCACATTCCTGCCCCTGGGAGTGACAAACAAGGGATCCAGGGAAGTGCTGGAGCTGCAGCAGCACCATGGGCCAGAACAAGGGATGAGCAGTGCCAGGGCACAGCCAGGGTGGGTCGGAGAGGGGCAGACACAGAGGCAGAGCTGCAGCAGGCGCTGTTTTGGGATTCCTGAGCTGCCTCCCCAGCCCTGTGTAGGGTTTACCCCTCAGCTTTGTGTTTTTCCATCACTGGATTAATGTCTGCAGCACCCTGGAGCCCAAAATCCTGATTTAGCCAGGGTGTGGGCAGGGGGCATCCCTGGGGGGCACAGGGCTGGCAGTGGCAGCACCTGCAGGCTGCTCTGTGCTCACATAAAAAAAAAAGATCATTTAAAAAAGGCTCAGAAAACAACACACTGAACTATAAACTCAAAGAAATCACTGAGGATAGGGCTGAACTCCAGCTCTGCCTGCACTTGCTCCCGGGCTTTGCCCACAGCATCACCACCACAGGGAAGGCAAATTTTGTCCCTAAAAGTCCCCTGGCCAAGGCCAAGGTGTGGCAGCATTCCCCAAAAACCTCAAGAGCTGCCTGAGCACTGCTGAAAACCTCTGCCCCTTCCCAGAGAGAAGGGGGAGCTGGAGGATGAATATAGTCTTTTTATTGACTACTTTTGAGTAGAACAAACTAAATACATCTGTAACAGTTTGGGTTCCTTTATACAGGACATTAAATAAGTTATGCACAGGAATGAAGTAACAAATTTCTATTACAGAATTAAATGTCAAAAAAAAAATATAAACCTCAACCCAATGTCTTCCCACGCCCCAAGTTCACATTTATCATTCCATCTTTAAAAAAAAACAACAAAAAAAGAAAGAAGCAATCATTCTAATCATGACTGTTAGTATTTCATTCATTTACACTGGGGTTAATTTTAATACACGGCCATCAACGTTGCATGAGAATTATGGAAGACAATCTATTTACAAGCAATTCCTTCCAGCCCTGCTCTTCCCACCCCACCCTGGCACTGCCACCACAGCTTGAGGCTGGGCTGCAGGTGAGGAGGGGACATCACAACCACCTGAGGCTCCAAATGTGTCCCTGTGCCCTTAGGGCAGGAAATGCCCCCTGAGTGCCCTGAACACCCCAGGGATGGGCTGCTGCAGGGCAGGGTGGCTCCTGTGCCACCCCTCTGGGAGCTCAGTGCCACGGCTGGGCTCCAGCACCAACTCCTGGGGACACAGGGGAGACATCCCAGGGCCACTGGAGCTGTCTTCAACACCAGGAGACCTCGTGGCTTTTTAACGAGACCCTGCAGCCAGGGAATCACCAGCTCTATCCCACAACAGCAGCTTCCCAAGGAGCTTTCCCGAGGGACCAGGCCTGGAGCAGCAGGTGCCCCGCTCGGCGGTGACGACTCATTCATTACAGCTCCATTATTCACCTCCAATTGAAAAAGTAATCAGAAATAATTTGGGAATTACTCGCCTCATTGGGCTCCAGCCCAGCAGTGGCACACACACAGTCAGGGAAGCACAGCTCTGCTGAAGAGATGGATTTCCAGAGCCCCTGAGTGAGGCTGAGGGAGTGGGGAGCAGTTCCTGGAGGGCATGTGCTCCCCTCTGGGACCCTGCTGCAGGGCTGTGCTGTCACCTGCACTGCCCCGAGGCCCTCCAAGGCCTCCTTCCACACCACAGCAGGGACTCTGCTGGACAGATCTCCCCAGGCTGTCCCCCAGCCCCAGGGGACCTCGCTCTGGTCCTGTTTCTGGGACAATCTCTGAAGGTGGATGCACATCCCTGGCCATGTCTGGATGCAGCACTGCAGGAACCCCTGGAGTTGGGGATAAGAATCGACACCAAGTCCTGCCTTTCTTTTACCAATGTGGCTGAAGTGTGTGCAGAGCACAGGCTGTAAACAACCCCTCGCACCAGTGAGGATCCCTGGGCTCAAAAACAACAGCAGGAACTCACAAACCAGCAGCTTCCAGGCAGTGAAAAACCAAAACAACGGCCCCCAGGTGGAAAGGGCACCTGCACCCAGCCCAGATGCGCTCTGCACGTGTTCCCCCAGCACAAGGAAACACCCAACTGTCTGTCTCACCACAGGCCAGGATGAAATCCAGGCCATTCAGCAGTACCTCCCTGCCACTGCCACTTGTTTTAGAGCAGACAAATCCTCTCCTCCCTCTCTGCAACCCTCAGCTGCCAGCCTGGAGGAGGAGAAGTGGGCTCAGCTTTTGCCATTGCACAGAGGATGAGATGCTCCCACTGGGAAATTGGCTCTGGTCTGTTCACAATAACAACCGGCCAGCACAGCCACCTGAGGCTGGGAGTAGGGAAAAAACACCGGATATGATGGAGGAAAAGTGGTGGAAGGAGGCAGCGGTGGCTCTGACACCTTGGGAAGCGAGCCCGAGCATGCCACAAGGACAGGGCTCCCCACTTGGGCACCACACTCTCAGCATCTCCGGCGTGTGCCAGCGCTCTCCCCCCAGTCCAGGTCCCCCGAGTGGGTGCCCAGTGTCCCCCAGGTCCTGACTCTGCTCTGGTGCCCCCCTGAGAGGAGCAGAGAGATGCTGCAGGCGAGGCTCACCCCAGGTCAGGAACCACAAAGGAAAAGGCAGGATGAGAGGGCAAAGGCGGAGCGTCTGCGCTCCGAGGAGGCGTCGCGATGTGTCAAATAATGTCAAGTGATAACAGTTGCTGCAGGGAGGTTTTCAGCTTAAAAAACCCCAGGGATCTCATCCAGAGCAAAGCAAAGCTTCCCTCCTAGAGTCCGTTCGTGTCTATGGCTGTCACGGATGCCGGCGTGGAGGAGCGCGAGGTGGTGGCCGAGGTCTTCTCGAGGGCCGGGCTGGGGATGCCATCGAGGCTCTTGGTGGCCGCTGCCACCCGGCCCGTGGGCAGGGCCAGGGGCTTGCTCTGCCCGTGCAGGCCTTGCCCACAGATGCGGTGGTGCCTCTCCCAGTCCTTGTGCTGGCAGAAGGAGCCGCAGTACCGGGCGATGTTGCAGCCGCTGCACGTCTCGCTGGCCTTGCGGCCGCAGTTCCAGCAGCTCTGCAAGACCAAAGACACCGTGCTTTAAAAAGGGTTTAGCTTCCCTGAGAGCTGCAGGATGGTGCTGACTCAGCACTGGAAGGGACTGTTCATCCCCTCTGGCCCAGATTTGGGAATATCAAAATGAGCAATCCATTAATTCCCGCTATTTCCCAGCTCTTTGCCAACCGTTCTAACCCCCACTGCTCTTTGCCCGCAGCCTCTGTCACACTGCTCCAGGCACATCCTCTCCCCTCGACCCACCCGAATGCAGAGAGGAAACAGCAGGCACGGACTGAAAAACACTCTGCAGATGCTGCTATTGGGCCTTTTTATTTCCTGTTTTAAGCAGCTCTATTTTGGTCTCGCTCCCAGCCAAGCGCTCTCCACAGGGATCACGGCGCGCTGCACAGGCACCATTTGCTCCGCACCCTGCCTCGCTGCACAAGAGGCTGGAGCAGGCCAATTTGGAAAAGCAAATGCTCATTTGAAAGCCTCCCAGCCAGGTGGAAGCACTGCCAGAGCCCAAGCTTCAATCTGGAAGCGGAGCAAAGCCCCTCTGGCCG